AGAGTGAGGAGAACGGAAGTGAAGAGATTGAGGCGACGTGAGGAGGTCTCTGGCAGGTTCCGCTCCGCCAGGCCACGCTGGGTGCACGCCATTGAACACCACATCCCCACAAAATCATTTAATTCTGCTTGTGGGGAACTAATGCTGGTAATTTCTGTCCGGTGCAGGAATTATGTAGGGTTTCTTCAGCTAACAATGGGATATATATATATATTTAGTAATTATTAGCAAGAGAATAAATATATATTTAAAGGCGTTGCCATTATTGGAGTTTTGCAGGTTTAACAGTAATAGTATTTGGGAGAATGATAAAGACGTGTGTTATATAAGTGTAATGTATTCAGCTCAGGTCCGTAATGGTGTGTTGAAGGTCAGGTGGCGCGTCACATGACCACACCGGCTAACCTTTCTGCACTTACCTGGAATAATGATATAAGACGTTATACCTGCCTACAACACTGCTGTCTTGGGTGGGGGACACACACACACACACACCGATAGATATAAGCATAGCACTATCCCATCTATTGTTAAAATAATAAACAACTGATTTATGTACTGTACAGCCCTGTAAATGTATTTAATGCATATTATATCAATATGTCTAAATCAAATGTAAGTCTGTATATTTTCAGCCACCGGCTGCAACTCTATTAATAAACCGTTTATTATTATTATTATTATCACACACACACACACACTTTAATATTCGTCCCTCGTCTGGCCCGGCGGAGACAATTACATTAGGTCCTTGAAGGAAGATAGACTTGAAGTGCTTCCCTGACTCCGTTATTGGCCAGATTATTATTTCACCCTGAGGACGACCGCTCCCAAGACCTTTGTTCATACACACCACACCACACCACACAGTGATTCCTATATACTTGTACACCATAACCTTACCATATAGTGTACTAATGTGTCTTAGTGTTTTAAATATCACCATAACAGTAAATTAGGTTAAATATTCACTAGCCTGCCGAAAAAATCCATCATTAGCGTCCAACCTAAGACTAACGAGAGTATGATCGAGTGTCTTGGGTTGGGTTAGGTTAGGTTTTAGTACAGGGAGTTATGTCGATGTTTCGTCCATGTGGCTGGTGATCGATACCCGGGTGGAGGCGAGGGTCTCCACTCTGGCGGTCTCCTGTAAACACACTCCAACCCCCTTCCCCCACACACCCCTGTCCCCCCACACACACCCCTGCTCCCCCCCCCACACACACCCCTGCTACACACACACACCCCTGCTCCCCCCCACACACACACACCTCTGCTCCCCCCCCCACACACCCACACTACTGATTTTTCACCTACTAATGATTGAACACAAATACCAAGAAAATAGAGGAGATGAGGAGAGAAGGGCTAAGGGGGGTGAAGTGAGGAGTAAGGAAGAAAAGGAAAGAGTGAAGTGAGGGGAGAGGGAAGGAACAAGGGGGTGGGAAAAGAGCGAGAGAAGGGGAAAGGTGATGACAAGAAGGGGAAAGAGGGGAGAAGAAAGAATGTGGAGGATAATGATACAGAAGTTGGATGAGTTAGAGAGGTGAGGGGAGACTGTAAGACGGGGAGAAGTATAACCTTGGGGTGGAGTGAGGGGACAAGGGTCAGTGGGAGGAAATGAGGGGAGATTAAGGGAACAATTAGGGGATGATGTGTTGGGGAGAGCAGGGAAGGAGGGGACAGGTTAGGTTAGGTTAGGTTTCCTCCAAAATGTGTAGGAGTTTTGGGAAGTGTCTTAATGTCACGTCCTGTTGTAGTGGTTGTAGTAGTAGTAGTAGTAGTTGTTGTTGATTTTGTTGTGTTTAGGGGGTTCGTTTTAGAGGGCTTCAAACATAGTACGATACTGATTTTGGAACGTGTGTGTGTGTTTGTTTGTGTGTTGTGGTTACATGTGTGTTGGTAGGGACAGAAGTGTTCTCAGTACCCAGGGCTTCAGCAGCGTCACGTGTATGCTGTACTTACTTCTACTCCTCCCCAGACATGACTAAACTGCGTCTCGGGACTAAACTGCGTCTCTGGACTAAACTGCGTCTCTGGACTAAACTGCGTCTCTGGACTAAACTGCGTCTCGGGACTAAACTGCGTCTCGGGACTAAACTGCGTCTCGGGACTAAACTGCGTCTCTGGACTAAACTGCGTCTCCTAAGTCAACAACTCACACTAACACACGACATACACACATTACAAGGTGTAGCTGTTGGCACTTAATGTAACTATAATATTTATCTGGAGGTTAGGTTAGGGTGGTTAGGTTAGGTTAGGTTAGGTTAGGTTAGGGTGGTTAATCCTAATGTGAAATAAACTGGGGCTAATTAATCTACAGGTGATACTAGTTTTTGCTACGTCACGTCGAGGGTAACACAGAAGGTAAAGCGTTAATTACGTGCAGGTGATGATGGTGAGGGAGAAAGGTGGTGAAGAGAACGCCTCCCTCCGCCCTGGGCACAACTCTGACCTTTAGTTGTCTCTTGTGCCATCACAGGTGTTAATTTTTTTTTTATATGAGAGAAAGAGAGAAAGTATTATTATTAAAACATGACTTGGACTTGTAACTACATATAGAGGGAGAGTGACCGACATACACACACCGTAACCATCACACATCTCCTGAAGGTGCCACAGACTCTAACCAGCGACCCTTAGGATGGGAGGGGAGTGTTATATCCACTCAGCCACCGCACCCCCTCTTGATGGAGCTAAAACTATAATGACTTAATCACGATAGACAAACACACACCCAGACACTGTTAGTCCACCATAGTAAAACTCGGTAGCTTAGGTTCTGGGCGTGACCTACCTTAAGACTGAAGCGTGGCGTAGTTTTCTAACGGTGGTGCAGTTTAGTGTGTTATCTGGAGGCGTATAATTATAGTAAGCCGGGGGCGCCACCCTCCTGCTGCAGGTGAGTGGTACCTCCCGGGAACATCGGTCCCGGGAGGTGGGGGTTTGTCCTACTCTGGTGTCGCTACGTACCATCACCTGTGTTTGATTGATGTTGACGCTTTGCTGGTGTTCCCAGAGATGATTGTGTGAGCGGGTGTGTTCAGACTCTAGATTATCCCTTGAAGTGTTGTTTAGAGGGTGCCCCAGGTGGCGACGTGGGGAGGAGTACTGTTGAACACATTACCGTACAGTAAACTGGTGAAATTCCCGTTTGTGATGGAAAGGTGTTGACGATACATTCCGAAACGAGATTTTTAGTGGAATATTTCTTGACTTGGTTAAGGTAATTATACTGTTATAAATATACTCCTTAGATAGTTGAGGGGACTGTTGGGGGCGGGAAGTGTGGGCGTGTGTGTGTGTGTGGACCTAGAGCGTGGCAGGCAGTAGCGGGCGACTCAGCCACTCAGTGTGTCGTTGTTCCTTGTGACGGCCGCAGCTTTCACTGTCTCCCTCGCCCCACACACACACACACCATGAATGACCTGAGCCTCACCTGCGTATAAGCACGTGAGGACACAGTCATAAATGGTGGTGTGACGAGAGCTAATGCCTGGACACTGGACATACACGGAAACACCTTAATTGAAGGAGTCGGTAATTAAGAGTGATGTGAAATGTTGAAGGAGGTGTGTGTGTCAGGTGTTGTGCCGTGGAGTGTTGAATGGCGGGGTAGTGTTACTGAGGGAGGGAGGCAGGCACTCAGGCCCACCGTAGCCACGGCCCTTCACCACACACCCGGCCTTCTCTGCCTACACGAGTCTTGAACCTTAACGTGTGTGTGTGTACCTGTGTTGCTACGAGACGACACAGAGAAACAGGGTAGAACTTAAACCGGAATTAAAAAATAATCAGTATTAACAATTAAAGAAAGAAGAAACAAGCGGAAATACATGTTTTTAATTTATTCATTATTTTGTCTTTGTGAAAATATAATGTAAGTCTGTTTGTATCCGTTGCTGGGAGACGTCTGGTACGGCGAGTGACCCATTAGTGACGTGTTTGAATGGTTAGTGACTGTCAGGACTCGTATATGACCACTTGACCTAGTGTGACCTGTCAGGAGGGGGTCCACAGGGAATGGACGAAACACGTGTGGATGAGATAGTGTGAAAATGGATGATGACTCGCTCATTTCCACCACCAGAGGGCTTGGCTGGGAGGTGTCGTGGCGTTGTATAAATAAATAAATAGTTTCTAGTAACATACTCACACACCCTAACCCAACCCACAACACACCTGAACACACTCCAATCAACAATACACACGAATTAACACCCCCGACCCACAACACACACCTGAACAGATTAACTGGTAGCTCTGACAAGGACAAGGGACACTGGAGCTCCGAGCCTCTTCACCTGTATTTCAAGTAATTAAAATAAGTCGACGATTCAAGGACACCAAGTGAACACAGATCAAATGTTGGTCCTAAGTCGACGGTTTTTGGTCATGCCGCTACACTAACTCACAAGGAACCGTACTTTAAATTGTCCTCTAACCTGGAGATTCAATCGTGTACCTACAGTAACTTGCTGACGTTAAACCTTTGCACAAAATATTACTCTGATTAACAAGCATAAAACTTAATCAGGGGGATGAGGTTAGGTTTGGTATGGTTAGGTGAGGTGTCGCTTAGTACAGTATCTTCACCCTAACAGAACACTTGTCTGTTACTTGGAAGAGTCTGTCTCCTAGTGAAGTAATTATTGATTCTCGGTAAACTTTGGTGTATAATGTGTCTTGTGTGTTGATCTTAATGAGGAAGGCGCTGATGAAGTCTTCTTGATAAATACAGGAAGATCTTAGAGTCCGTTAAAGGGACGAAAAATACTGACTCGTGGACAGAATTGAAAACAAGTCATATTTGATTGTATATATTAAACTATAAAGTATCAACGGATATAAAGTACTCAAGTGGATATAACAGTAAAACAAAATATATAAGGAAACGGTATATATAGTTGTTACTTTAGCGGCGTCTGGTGACACTCCTATCGGGGATGAGGAACGAGAGAGTGACGGTTAGTGAGTGTTGTGGTGTGACTGATATAGTACCGAGATGCACCACCATGAGACGGACCAGTACAATAGTGTGTGGTGATGGAGCCCCCACGACCCACCACTGACGCCCCCCTGTCTCTCCTGAAGATGGTGCTGACGGGGAGAGAGGTCGCCCCTTCTCTCAACACCCACCAGGTAAGGTTGGTAATGAGTTGCAAGAACTGGGCTGAAGGTAACACAGATTCATAAACAGTTAGGTAGTATTTTTCCTCGTCAACTCTCTGCTGCCGAAGGTGTAAACGGCCATCAACAGGTTCTCTCGTACACGGGGTAAGACAGGTGTATACAGGGCGTCATTGAGGGGGGGGGGGTGACTCGTTGTAGCCTTTCCCTCGGGTAATCGTACACTACAGCAACAGACAGACGGTGTTATTTTCATGAGGGTGATGATAGGGAAAGCTAGTGGGAGTCTGAGAGGCAATAGAGGTTAGCGATATAGTGGGTATTTTATGTGTATGTATGTATGTATGTATGTATGTATGTATGTATGTATGTATGTATGAGGGGTAATATTGTTGTGTCGAATGCCCGGGGCAGGGAGAGTCCTCCCCTGCCATTACCTGACCACCTGCACTGCCAGCCTCTCCACTGCCATCCCCACCTGGCCGTCTCTAGCCTTGCCTCACACACCTCCTCCTCCCGCTTCTTTCCCAGTACTTCCTCCACCTTGACACTTCCTCCACCTTGACACTTCCTCCACCATGGCACTTCCTCCACCATGGCACTTCCTCCACCATGGCACTTCCTCCACCATGGCACCTCCCGTGTTCTCCTCCTGCTCTTCCTCCTACGGCCTTATCTCATTTACCTCTTCTTCCATCCTGATCCCATCTTCCTGCTCTTCCTCCTGGACACACCCCATTGATTATAAACCACGCCCTAATAGACTGGGGGATTTTTATTTAAGTGAAGCTCCCTAGAAGGTAGTGGTCATCTGTAAGGGGTAAACACGCCCCTGTACTGCTGGAGGCGAGGCTGAGGGTGCCGACGGGGAGGTGAAAGCCAAAGCCAGTTTGTCGTCTTGGTCAGTAGCTAATGTGAGGGTGGGGAAGGAGAGGCGTTCGTGGGGGATGTGGGTGGGGTGCTTGTGGGTGTGTGGGGAGCTGATTATGAATATTTTGGGGTAAAAGTGGGGTAAAGGTAATTTTTGGGGAGATGGGGATTTATTTTACTCATGTTATGGGGAGGGAAGAGGTAGGGGAGGGAGGCAGCGTACGTGTAAGAGGAGAAGGGAGTTGTATTAACACCTGAGGGAGGGCGTAGCAGAGGTCGTGTATCACCAGAGTGTCAGTTAATCTGGGACTATACAAAGGAACCAGGTGTTTGTTTTACTCCCCAGGTGAGAAGAACCAAAACACACAGGAGTGCCAGGCGCCGTGTGTCTGTCACGGGGAGGTGAACAGAGGGTCCGTAACAGTAGTCGTCTTAAGAAAATGAGAGGCTTAATGTTCACTCTGGTGTGTGTGTGTGTGCGCGCGTGCGTGCGTGCGTGCGTGCGTGCGTGTGTGCGTGCGTGCGTGTGTGTGTGTGTGTGTGTGTGTGTGTGTGTGTGTGTGTGTGTGTGTGTGTGTGACGACTGTCCAGGAATCGATGGTGGGTCTGGTCCCAGGGGTCACCGGGAACCCTCAAACTCAGTCTCGGTGAATTTGATCACATCTGAGGAGCGTTTGTTTGCAAGTAAACTGCTGTATGTATTAGTATTGGGCGCCACTTATAAATCTGGTCGTGTGGGGAGGCGAGGCAGACGTGTGGTGGTTGAATGTAGTGAGAGTTGATGGAGAGGAGGCTAGGGAGGGGCAATAATCTTGGCCCCCATGGTTTGATAATTAATTAACAGGTAGTCGTAACCACAGCATCCTGGGGCCCGGCCACGTCTCCTCCCCCACTGTCTACTTCTCTCAACTTTGATCCAGGAAGACAGACCTATGGAGATTAACCATTGAATCCATCGAGAATAACACGATATACAAACTGAAATTGAAACAAACTGTTTATTTTGTCATGGCCGAAACATTTTGAGGGGTATAAAATGAAAGAATATTATATTTATTAAGTGAACAAATCATCTGTTTCCCTTGTAAGATCAGAGAGAGTCACCTGCTGTTAGGGATGACGGGTGTTGAGAGTTAATGTGTTAATGCTCCACAACACAACAAACCTTAAGCCTCTGAAACCATTACGTAAACTATCCACATGCATTTACCGGAACCTCCCGAAGCCTCAAGATGAAGCTTCACAACCATTCGCCAGTCTCAAGACACCAACCACTAAAACCCCAACCATCACCAGCCCGATACTTCTATCACCCTAGACTGTAATGTTATTTCAAGCTCATCACATTCACTTTCACGGAAGACGTACCAGTGAAGCCTTGGACGGGAGGAGGAGGAGGTACTGTAGGTGGGGGTTTTAGACTAGACGCCTCGAGAATGTGTTTATGGATCAGGTGTTTGTACCCCGGCGGACGATAGGCGCAGGTGGTAGGTGCTGTGGGTGAGAAGGGGGGTGGTGTTATTCAGGAGCTGGACGCCCTGGGTACCTGAATCTTATACCCTTGGAGGCTGCCTTGAGGTTCCTGCCGTGCCTGGGAGATGATGGGGACCACTTGAGAGGGTATTGGGGGCTGGAGGAGGAATTTGGAGGATGTGGGATGTAATGGAGGAATCAGGAAGGGATGGAGGAGGGTATTTGACAGGCGGTGGAAGGGATTGAGATTGATGGAGGATGTGGAGGGATGGACCGGGCGGGATGGGGTGAAGTGAAGTGAATTGGGATGTTTTAGGGGGGGGATTTATTTGTCTGGGATGGATAAACTCACACGGGGCAGAGAGAATGGAGAGAGAGATATGAGTGTGGGGTAGGAAAGGGAGGGAGGCGCCCCCCCACACGTGATCTGCCTGCGGTGTGTCGTGAGGTGGAGGATGACGCCTCTCAATGAACTCCCCTCGTTGACTGGGTGGGTAGGTGGGTGGGGGTGGGTGGGTGGGTGTGTGTTGTGGGTGGGTGTGGGTGGCTGACGTGAGGTTTGTTCAGGTATCATGTTTTATCACAATAGGAGCCGCTGTACGTTATTACCGTTTGTTGTAATGGTGGTGGTAGTAATAGTAATGAATAATAGCATAGGAATCACAAAAAATAATGACGACGATAACAATAATGGCAATAGTAATAATAATAATGATGAAAGTAGTAATAATGATTTAAAGGTAAGGTATACGAATATCAAGTAACCTGAGTAATTAGCCGACACACCTGTAATATTATGTAAAGGTGTAATGTCACCTTTTACCCGGGGGGACCTCGGGCCAGCTGGGTGAAGAAAATAATTATTTTAATGAAAGAAATTCATTCTTAATCTTCTTCACCCAGAGTATAATATCCACTCTTTTTATTATCAAGTTTTCGGTCTCTGCTTTCACTCAATTTTTTTCTTTCTTTCGTTGTTTCGTAAAAAAAAGCTGCACTGTTTTTTGTTCTTGCTTCGTGGATATTGTTATTATTATTATTATTATTATTATTATTATTATTATTATTATTATTATTATTATTATTATTATTATTATTATTAGTATTATTACTGTTGTTGTTGTTGTTGTTAATTCTTGTTGTTTTAGTACCATTAGATTTAAGTGCTGTTGTTATCTGTCTTATCCAGTTGTATCATCACGTCACGGTTTAGTCCCTTCATTACGATGTGTTTACTCTAGGTGGTGGTTAAAGTGAAGCCCAGCTGCTGTTTAAGGTTATATCCGGTGTGTGTATCGTGGGGTTAATGTCGGTTGTTTTGTCTTTACAGCTTGGTGAAGATGTCGGAGTGAGGCTCGTGGCCAGCACCGACCACAGCCCCGCCACCACCACCGCCACTACCGCCGCCGCCTCGACCACCACCTGTGGGAGTGCCAGGTCTCTTCGTTACCGAGGGCAGACCTGTCTCCAACCTCACTCCCCCAGCCATGAAGACCTGTCACCTGTAAACCCATCCCTCGCCCCTGATAGTTTCTCCCCCTACAAGACAAGCCCCCCAAGCCTCCTTCCATACCCTCATTCCCCCTCCAAGACACGCCTCCTAAGTCTCCTCCCAGACAGTACTTCCTCCCCCAAGACACAAGCAGTAAGTCGCACACCCGCTCCTGTAATCAGACCTTCCTTCAGCGCCTCCTCCCCACCCCCGCCCCCCGTTGCTTCACGCATCATTCGACGTTTCGCACCGCACCGAGCCCTGCGGTACAGACCTATTGGAGCTATTAAGGTACCTCAACTAACCAGGGTGAGTGAGAACGTCCGCAGACTCTCCCCTGAACTTCGCCTCCATCTCCAGGAGTCATTACAACGACTCCAGCAGCAGCAGGCAGAGTCAGTGCTGAGTAAAGAACTTGTATCTCCCGTACAAGGTGAAGACGATGGCCCCAAGTTGGTAGAAGCCCAAGAACCGCCAGAACTCGAGCAAGAAGTGGACACTTGTGGAACACATACCAGGTGAGCTCAGGTGTTCTCTCATTTACCTGTCCAACGGCTTCATCAACAAGCCAGGACTTATGGATTACCCTCTTAAGATGCGCTGATGTCAGGTTAATGGATACTAAAAAATGGCACAGTGCATAACAGTCAGTATCACGCCAGCATAAACAATACATATTTTTAAAGGTGTTTGGGGGAGTTAATTAGCTTTCTAGCACACCTGATTTTATTATTATTATTCAGTTCAGGGGATTAGCGTCTCGGGATTATATGTGTGGGTGTTAGTCCTGGTTAGGTGGTTTAGGTCAGGGCTATGTCTGTTGGCGTATGAGTCGAGGATCAAGACACACACTACATCCGGGGGTCGACTCTGCCAATTTAGAAGGAGCTTTACGTCGTGACTCAGGTTAAAGCTACAGAAGTGCCATGGGGGGAGGGAGGGATTAGGTGTTGGTTTGTGGAACCTTGACGTGGCGCCGTGGATGGTGTCCTGGAAGACCTACCTACTCGCCTCCCTCAGGATTATGTTTGTTACTCACTCGTAAAGAAGTTGACCTTTCTCGCTAAACTCTTTAAGACAATCTACTTTCCTCGTTAAAAAAAGAGAGATTTGTTTTGTTGATCCGTTCGTTCGTTCGTTGCCCCCACCTGCTCTCATGCCAACTGTTGATCTTCCTGTTACTGCTGAAGGGGAGCTACTGAACCTACTGATGGTAGTCGTGGCCCCCCTCCTGCTGCTACTGTATTTATGCGGCACCAGCAGTAGAAGTAGGAGGCAGTAGACAATGACTGTTACTCTCTCTCACGCCCTCACACGTCATAATTGGTGTCGGTGTTGATTGCAGCATTTGTTAGTCTATTTTGTTTGCTGTCAATATCGTAATTATCTATCGTCTGCTGTTAGTGTTGGGGCCATACTGAGCTGAATCCCTCTACTGGTAAAAATGTAAATAGTGAAAGTGGACAGATCTTGTTATGAGTCATTGTTTGAGTTTTTCATTTCTTGACGTTTCATATATGTTAATTTCTAATCTGTTCGTTAGTTCCCGTTTCGTTACAGCCTCGTGTTATTGTTGCAGTTTGGGAAAATAATGACATCCTTTTGCACTGTTTCCTCCTCATTACTGTAGTCTGAAACGTTACAAATGACTATGTTTCATCCCTTGTTTCATCTCGTCACCACTGTAGCGTGTCTTTTAAACTGGTAGAGTGGGTTTAGTCTGTTAGCTAACACTGTAAAATCATCATCATCATTACAAAATTGTCCTTTCCAGCATCCGTTAATCATTGTCATTAGCGGGGCAGCACGTTGGCACACCATCATCCCCAGCAGCAAGATGTCTCCGTCAGGAAGATCGTTAGTGAGGGCGTGCCAAGGGCGGGCTGTTCGTCACGCGTGTTGTGCTGAATGGTGTCACAGGTGTTTCTCTCACACACACACACACACACACACACACACATTATGACGCAGTTTCGTTTGGGTATCGTGATGGGGCAGCTCACCGTGCCCACTACGTCACCACTACCACCATCATCCTGTTTGCGGAGTGACAACAGTCTGGGGTCACTCAAAGCCTCTAATACCAGGTTGTGTACACCAGCAGCAACATCCTCGTCGTCGGCGTGTCGTCATTTGTCTCACCGTCATACCCAGCCTCAGAGGGTAATTACGGCTACCTATAACGTGTGGCCAGCTCGTCCATCATCCCCGCCTCCACACAAGTCATCCCTCACGCAGATGTTGGGACCTTCATCACTGCCAATACGTAACCTTATTCGGCTGTAAACTAATAGGGCTGTCAAGTGCTCCCGACTACACGATGAACTAACACTACTTAAGTTTCATTTTTCTACGTGTGTTGTGGTTCTCGGCCGCGCGAGTGTAATGATCCTGGTCCACACTTCTCGGTTCTTGTTCTTCGTCTCTCGTTATTCCCGTCTCTCTCGTGTTATTCGTCAACCACGTGTATTTCTGTCTTATTCTTTATCTTTTTTCCTGTTTCACTTTCATTCTTCCGACGCTGAATATATAAATCTTTCGAGAAATGGGAAGGACTGAATGTAATGTAATGTAGTTATCAGAGTTAATACAATGAGGTGTATGTGGTTGGTTGAAGACAGCGCCCCTCAGTACCTACCTGATGAGGGTCTGGTCGGGTAAGGATGCCATCTCGTTTACTATGATAGTACAGAAATAGTGTCGGGTTCTCCCAATAGTTGATGACGCCATTAGCGAAAACGTGACGAGGTTTGCCATTATTATTTTTTTACCATCAACGACTGACATAACTGCTCCGGCCTTGCACGATGGAGGGTGTTTGTGTCCACCGAGCTGATGTGTCTTTAAGAATCCAGGAGTCTTCACAGTATATTTACATTACATTCAATATTTAAGATAAATAACTCGTCAAAAACAGCAAGATATTTACCACGAGATTAATATTATTCACTCAAGATCGGGGGTTAAATTCACTGTTCCGCTTGATATCATTTACTGGTTCCGCCTCCGATATGTCGAGACTGGGATAAACAGCTCCATGGTCACGGTACACGTAAAAAAATACCGAGGAAAAAGTATTAATGAGATAAGACTGGAAGACCTCAACACGGAAGACTTGAGATTGTTAGGGGTTGAAAATTCAATTCATCCATGGAACTGAAGACTAATTGTTTTTGTTTTGTTTTTATCGTGCATGAGAAAACACCATTTGACATTAAGGAAGGAAGGAGGAAAAAAAATAACACGGCATTTTCTTGGTGGGTGTTGTGGTGAGGTGTTACGTGAGGGAGAGACGAGAGGTCCTTCACCATCTGATCCAAGGGTCGTCACTCCTATCCATCTACTCATTTACAGTTGTCTCCCAGCCGTGACACACACACACGCACACACACACACGCACACACACACACACACACACACACACACACACACACGAGAGAGAGAGAGGAGAGAGATTCAATTGAAAAGGTGTTCATTCCGTTATCTGTTGACTGTTACCCGGATTTAGAGTTGTGTGGAGGGTCAGAGGTGTTGTCAAGGTGTGTGAGGTGTCAGGGGTGTTAGGTGGTGTCAAGGGGTGGTGAGGTGGTGCCAGGGGGTGTTAGGTGGTGCCAAGGGGTGTTAGGTGGTGTCAGGGGGTGTGAGGTGGTGCCAGGGGTGTTAGGTGGTGTCAGGGGGTGTGAGGTGGTGCCAGGGGTGTGAGGTGGTGTCAAGGGGTGTTAGGTGGTGTCAGGGGTGTGAGGTGGTGCCAGGGGTGTGAGGTGGTGCCAGGGGGGTGTTAGGGTGGTGTCAAGGGGGTGTGAGGTGGTGTCAAAGGGTGTGAGGTGGTGTCAAAGGGGCGTTAGGTGGTGTCAAGGGGTGTTAGGTGGTGGTGGTGACAGGGGGGGGGGTAGTCTTGCACCTCAATGTTTTGTGTCATTCATTGATTTTTTTTCAGTAAATTCAACCTTACCTTCCAATGAGTGTTTTTTCTCTACCATTAATAACATTTCCCGGTATATGTCTTATGTTATATACCCCAGGCGAGAGAAACATATATCAGTCTGGTCAGTGAAAGCGGACAGTACCACTGGACCACCAAAACGCAGCCGTAAATTAACTAAACGCACACAAGGAATAACGAAATGTACCCATTAAAATAAAATATCCCTCTTTTTATTACATGTTTCCAAGAATGTGGTCTAACCCGTGGATAATGGACACGTACGTTAGGCCACGGTGAAAGATGAGCTGAGGTGAATTAAGAGAGACATTCAGTGCTAAATTATGTCCCTACTGACATATTGGGGTCATAGTGTACGGACGCTGGCCACTGAGGAGAGGGGTGGTGTTGGTGGGGGGAGGAGGAGGGGGGTAGTGGGGACGGGTTTAAAGGGGAGAGGGAATTTGTGCGGTTGGAATCTGATGAGATGGATTTTGAACTTTTTCCTGGAGGTCTGTTCATGTTATCTATGGATGGTTTCTGAGTATTTACATTTTTTGAGGTTTTTTTTTATTCTTAGAGGTTTTGAATAAGTTTTCTTTAAAGGCTTTCAGTATTCCCGGAGAGAGAGAGACGGTGAAAAAAATTAGGATAGCCTTCATATTATTATTATTATTATTATTATACTGACGAGACTGTAGTACTAGGCTTCACTGTCTTGCAAAATAAATCACGGTTAGTCTGGGTGAGCGGATGAAGGCCGGCGGCAGGTCGTTTCTGATGGTGTTAGGTATTACCAGAGATGTGAGTGTCAGGAATTTAAAGGGATTCACGAGACGCTAAATTTGTCGGGGATAAAGTGAAGGACGGACCAAACTGTGTTGGTGTTGTGTCCTACTTATAGTAATAATAATAATAATAATAATAATAATAATGATAATAATAAGAGGTATATTATTATTATTATTATTATTATTATTTATTATCATTTACACCTTATTTATCTAATTCTTATCATGCACAAACGTATTTATTTACCTTATTCTTTGTATTTATTTAGTAATTTAATTTAGCGGGAAAAAATAGTTTTGGTTGCAGTAAAAACAGAAAGTCATTGAGAAACTACACACACTTTTATTTTTTACCGAAATTGAATGAGTTACAGAAGCTACCATGACTACAAGTGTTGGCGCCTGATGAATCTTCCTGGTGAGCGAGAGTGTACAAGTTGGCTGTTCATTCTTAAGTCATTTATACGTCAGGGTGGTCGAGTTTACCTGTAATAGCAAACTCTTTGAGAGTGAGAGTGAGAGTGGTTTAATTAGCCAGTACTCCCGTAGACGGTGACGTGTGTGTGTATAGAATAACACCAGTATGATGTATGGCAGGAGTGTGTCAATACCCGTGGCTGCAGGAGCATGTCAGGACTGCTTCGGGTGTCTGGTGGTGGTACATCATCTCTCCCCTCCTCCCCGGATGCTGTTGTAACCGATGGACGTTTGAGTGTTCCGCTGGGGAGATGGAGTGAGGGGGGTGGGGAGGAAGAGAGGAGTGGGGGGCATGGGGGTGAAATTAGGACAGAGGATGGGGTGAGGGGGGAACAAGATGGGTAGGATGGGCTGATGGGTTGGCTAGAGGATGTAATAAATGAGGGATAGGTTTAAGGGGTGGGGGTAGGCACAGGATGCAGAGGAAGGGAGAGTGAGAGAAATGAGGACATGGTGATGAAAGTGAGAGGGTTTGTACAGAGTGAGAGGGGAAGTGAGAGGTGGGAACAGTGGGATGGGTGTAAGGTAGACTTCAACAAGTAATGAGTGGGAAGAGACTTGTGGAGAGGTGAGAGAGACGAGAGAAAGAGAATTTAGAATTGAAAGAGGTTAATAAGAGGGGAGGAGGAGAATGGTAGATATGAGGGATAGAGAGGAGAAGGCAGATGTAACAATACACATAACTGGTTAACTTAAGGTGATAAACAACAAAATTACGCCGCCCAAAAAAACATTAGAATGGCCCCTGAAACTAGATCTTTCACTTAGCACCAATTCGGGTACAAAATTAACCTAATACTGAATTGGCACCATTGAGTTGTGAATGAATGTGATTGTAAGATAATTGCCGAACTTTGATCTATTTTGTAGCGTTTAGAGGAAAAACTAAACACCTTAAAGATACTTTTCTAATAATAACTACGTCTTACTGTTTAGTGTGTCAACATAATTTATAATGCCAGAGACTTATTGCAAGGACGTAGGTCTTGGGGTGATGTATAGATTTATATTGACAACTTTTCTTTTTTAAATGCTGAAATGAAAGTGTTGTGTTACTGTGTCACGGTGGGTGAGGGAGGCCCCCACGACCTCGATGTTATCGCTGACACAATGCCTCAACCAGCCAGCCAGCCAGCCAGCCCCGGATGTTGATGCTTACTGTGTCACCTCTCACGTTAATATCCGTTTTATAACACACACACACACACGCACACACACACACACACACACATACACACACACACACACACCACGTAATGGAAGTGTTTACCAGACATTCATTTCAGATTTCAACAAAGGTATATCTTAAGTTATTTACATTAACACACTTCTCTTTTTCTTCCCAGGTCTCCCCTCAAGACTCGCGCCAACAGCATCACCAGCGATTATTTCAGCGACTCGGGCGAGACCACATTCCCACAAACGCTACTACAAGACTGTGAATTCGTTCTCAGTCTTGATCTCGTTGACGAAGAATCACAGAGTTCAAGGACTGAGTGTAGATCGACCTCGAGAAGCACCCTGTGTGGCGAGTCGTCGTCGGCCTTACCTCTGGCTCAGTATCCCCTACAGGCCGACGAGTCTCGTTTTCTCAGGGCGGAGAATGGTAATATACGTTTTCTTCTGAGTGATGCCGAGAGCGATAGTATCCCCTTAACCACGACGGATAGAGAAAATTGTACTTCAGCTGAGAAATTCGAAGGGGGACTACAGCAAAATCCCATAGCCAATCATAGTGCCAAAAGGGACTTCCTTAAACTAGTACCTGAGACTAGATTACGTACTGTGAAGTCTTTTCTTGGATCTGAGCTTTCTCTTCAGCACACTTCTCTACCTGCATGTCAGCCTCTCACCACTAGCTTAAACTCACCTTCCCTTACCCCTGCAAGTTTTAATTTAGAGCCCCCGTGTCCCAGACCTCACCCCAGTGCCAAAGCCTGCCGTGGGCCAGACCCAGCGGCACCATGGCACTCTTCATATAAGCCCCCAGAAGGATCCCTCACAAGCACACCAGTTGACGACACAAGCATCACCGAAATGGACCACGATAAAGGTAAGTCAGCTATTGATGTTTTTATTGTGTTCTGGGCTTCAACAGCTAAGGTCCTCAACCCCCTGTGTGCGGGTCGCTTTTCAGGTAAATAATAATATCTGGCATTAGCTAAATGAAATAAAATTGGCCTCCCTGTAGTGAAGGGGTTAAGCATGTAAACTAAGTTACTTATTACACTAGACAATAATTATTAGAAATTTATGTAAATAAATAATACCTTCATGTGCTTATGTAGTTAGAAATCAGTGTCGCAACTCATTTGTACTCGATGAATGAAGATATGAACTTTAATTAATTTTAAAACAAAACAAATCAAGGAAAGTGTTAGAATAAAAATGTTAACTCCAAGGAACATTAGATGAAGGGTAATTTTATTTACAATAATAAAAGTATAGAAAAACCTTGTACAGGTGTTTCATTGTGAATGATAATTAGATATATTAATTATTACCTTAAACATAGCTTTAATGTGTTGATGCTTACTCACACATGTAGGGAATCATTGACTTGTGTGTTGAGACCTTCCATGTTAAAGGTTGTCATCCTGTACAGGCTGTAGCAGCATGAGCGGGCTTGTTCCGCTGAGTTTCTCGTTGTCTTCGCTGTCGGGGTCGTCTAGCCCAGCGCTAGAGTCTGTCTACCCCGCGAGGACGCCCGGAGAGCTCCACACCAACTCCCTCAACAGACGCAAGTCTAAGTGAGTTCACTACACCCACTGTTTACCCTGTGAGGCAAAAGTCATTGATTGCTTCCTGTGGATACCATTAATTTTCAGGTGCCCAGTATCATTGGTCCCACTGTGTGTTTATATACAACACAGCAGGTGAGTTAGCTGCCAGAACTTCAGTGACCGCGTAAGGCTTCAATACTGACTAAGATAAACTGTTTTACATCAACACCTCACAGGTTACTATCTCAGGATCACGGTAAGTGTTGTCAGGTGCTCCATGGACTCCTGTGTCTATGTTGTGGTAGACTTGTGGCTCTGACTACCTCATACACGCAGCCACCTCGATTGACTCTGCGTCTTTGTGTATCTCCGTCAAGTCATGTGGTAGTTACGCGTAAATCTTAACTTCTGTAAGTGAAAACAGTTCCAAGTATTTATGATCCCCATAAGTTCACATCCGTCTTGTAGAGAGAGTGTGTGTGTGTGTGTGTGTGTGTGTGTGTGTGTGTGTGTGTGTGTGTGTCAATGATATGAAAGTGTTAAGAACTAGCACACCGAGACAATGTTTACACGTAACACTTTCCCGCCATTGTGTTTCCGCCTTTGGAATGATGATGGACTCGTGAGCGTCGTGATGGCTGCTAAACCATAAGTGTTCTTTAATGTACAGCCTCCAGGTAAACACACACACACACACACACACACACACACACACTCTCATTTCTCTGTGTGTCTGTGTGTGGACAATGGGTGGGTCGATGGCAGGCTAGCTGGGTCCACTGGTCCACACCCGCCCACCTTCCCTCGCTCCCTCCACTGATGTACCCAATGGTTTTATGTTTTTTTTTTCCTTTTTTCGTCCTCAAACTATTTCGGGAAAGGTCAGGATTGGTGAGAGAGAGAGAGAGAGAGAGAGAGAGAGAGAGAGAGAGAGAGAGAGAGAGACCCCATGTCACTCTGGGCTAGTGGAAGTTCGCGTGATCTTGACCGTGACCCGTGTTTGAGGTAGTGTTTTAGCAAGACCAATTTTTTTTGCCTGTATAATTGTGTGTGTGTGTGTGTCCGCTCTGGGGAAGGAGACCTCATAATTGTTCTTTAGTTTAAATTTTTACTATAAATCGTCCAGGAATGTTTTGATTACACTTGATTATTTTCACTTCAGGGTTAAGTCATAGTACTCTTGGGATTAAGTCTTCGTACTCAAAAGGTCAAATATTCTTACCAAAACAACTAGGATCTCTTGCTCAGTGTGGTAATTTATTGTACTTAAAGAAGTTCAATTCGTAGTACTAAGGAACTTTCGTACTCGGTCAATTAGATTTTTTCGCGGGGTGGGCGAGATACTGAAGGGGTTGGATGTGTGTCTCGTCTCTCCAGGAGCTCTTAGGGTGATGGTAAGCGTCTTCGGTGACTCGCGTGTGTTGCTGAAGAACTCCCGTGGTATACTTCGCTGTTGTCATGCCTTGTGGGTGGTTGTGTCGGGCGGTGGGTTTGAGACTGGTCACTAGCTTCCTGTACCTTGTGTTTTCCTGTTCCTGCTTTTCCTCTTTGTCTTCTCCTCCCTCTCTGCCCCTTCCTCCTCTACCTCCTGCAGTATTCAGCTTACGTATCGACTTTCTCAGTACGTCGTTGCTATTACCCAGCTAATTGAACTTCACTATGATCCACCACTCTACCAACCAACCCTCCCTCTCTCCTTCCCCCCCTCTCTCCTCCTCCCTCCCTCCCCTTCTCTCCCCCTCCCCCCCTCTCTCCTCCTCCCTCCTCCCCCTCCCTCCGACACTATCCCTCTGACATTGACACGCTACCCTTGAAAACACCCTCACTCACTGCACGCCAACCTGGAAGTATTACTCTGAACAAGCCACACAACACCCTTAAACATGAAAAGTATCCATCTGTCAGGTGAGGAAAGACGGGAATTGAGCTGACTAAAGGCTGCCAAGTATCACCTAAGAGACTGAAGGCCACTGACTTTCTTTTACCGCCGACTTCACCAAACGACCTGACTGAGGGAATATTTTCAACAAGTCGACAAAATGGAACGGGGATAGAGTATGGAACTAGTTGTTGATAGAAGAGAGTAAAAGAGAAAAAGGTATTATCTGTATGACTGTTTACGTTAAGTTGTGAGTCTTACTAAAGGAGTGATCTTAACTCATTACCCCCTACACAGGTATCGGCTCAGGTGTGATTTATTGACTTTCTCTCTGGTGTTAGGTGATACACTGTACTGGAGTATTGGTTAATGCTACGGAAGAGAATGTCTCGCTGGATCGATGGTGTTGAGTGATGGTATGGACGGATTATTAACTCCACAGGTGGTGGTCCCTGGGAGGTGTTGTGTACGGTACATAGACTTACTCAGGGTTGGGGGTGAGGTGGACTGACTGAAGGCTTAAGGTGTGTGTGTGGGGGGGGGGGTAGTATTGACAGGTGATTGATGAAGTTAGTGGCCGTGACGGGGGCAGGAGAGAGAGGGAAAGAGGGAAACGAGAGTCATTCACGTGAACTAACATCAACATCACCTGTGTGTGGATTATGAATATGGCGACCTTACCTGCCCTTCACCTCCCACTCAGAAACCCTTTTCATAGTCCACCTCCAATTTGCGTATCCTAGGTGTATTATTAATCCTAAATGTCAAAAGAAACACGACAACAAACTAGCTCTGTGTGACTCGCTTGGCCTTGGTGAACGTGTGATGGTGAATTCTTACTGTGTGTGATATTCATGTCAGGTACATTATCCGACACTAGTGACAGGTGACTGATTCGTAGAAATTTGAATGGTGGTGATGAGGGATGGTGGGTGGAGAGGGGAGTAGAGTAGAAGTGGGAGGGAGTGAAAAGGTGAATTTAGAATGGAAAGGGAGATCGAGAGAGGATGGTAGGGTGGACTGGAAGGAAAGGAAGACTGGCAGCTAAGACCTGACAGGACCAATAGAGAGGTAGACTACCTTACGTCATGTGGTGCTCGGGGCCGCCGAGTCAACCACTCCAGTGTTGCAACCCCGCGGCGGAGTCTCGGTTACAGATGTTGCCGCTGGGCTGGTGGAGGGGAGGTGTTGTGTGTGTGTGTGTGTGTGTGTCCATTAACTATACCCACGAATGGAGAACGCCACAGCTGTTACATTATTCAATAAGTAAACAATTATACGCTGGAACAAGACCCATCCTCTCGTGGGAACATATTTGGTCCATTTGTCGTATGAACATTATACAAAGGAAGAGTTAAAGTGACTTGTACCCAGTCTCAGGTTCATAGGTGTTGAAAAAATGATGGAGGTTTATAGATGAAGAAAACTTGAAGTACTGTATGTACCCTTGTCATGTTATAGTTATTGTAGGTGTTATATTGACGTTTTGAAATATGAGGATCATTTGTGTTACGTGAGGCTCATGGTGAGTGCGGTGACGATGAACCACCAGGCAGCCCGGTGTAGTGTCGGCATCGTCCGTCCCTCTGTTACAAAAGTTCATGAGAGTCGGTGGTGACGGGGTCCGTGACGAGCTGCCTCCAGCGCTCACGTAAGTCAGCTTTACCCTCTTGCTTCTCACTTAGTCTTTACAATACGAGTGTTTCACTGCACTGCCTCATCTTGTGGCTGGAGTTGTTAGTTGGGTTTAATATGGGAAATATTTCAAGCTTTTGTGTGAAAGTTTGACTTAAGTACGAGAGTTTGGGCGAGGCGTCGGCGCCAGCACCGTCATGAGTAACGGTACCAGCTGAGCCTGGAACCTGGAATTGTTGGAGGCTGCTAGAAGGTGACGCCAGGAGCCTCGTCAGTCTTACACAGCAGCCGAGTGTGTACACAGCCTGCACGCCCCCCTCAGGCGCTGTAGTGTTACACCCACTGGCGCTTTAGTGCACCAAGACGTGGACTCTTAATCGCATTACGTGACTCATATCGAATATCCGTTGTGTTCATGACCTTGGACGGCCGATGTAGATTTGTGAATTCCTGGTAATCAGTGAACGATTTGTAGTGCGGAGTGTGATCTACATACGACCGAGTGTGCTGGTGTGTTGGAGGCTTCTGTGGGAGGGAGGTGTTGGCGTTGGAGGCTGAGGGGAGAAAGTGAGGGAGAGATCACACCCAAGCCCGTGACGCTGCACCACCACACGTCTCCTAGTGTACATTACCCTCACCTCGGCGTGGGTCAACATGTGTGTGAAGGTTGTATACCGTTTTATACTTAATCTCTCAGTGATCGGAGCTTACGAAAGTCTTGGTGGCCGCCCGAGGCATTTATGAATAAGTGAAGTATTATGGATTACCTCGCGTAGAACTGGGACAGTGTTGAAGTGAGCAGAAGAGCCCGTGACTCGCCCCTAATGGTAGTGTGGTGTGACGAGCAGTGTGGATAACGACGAAACGATTATTAATTACCGTAGCGAAGCAAGTGATTGTAATTTGCCCTGTGGTGTGTGTGTGGGGGGTGGGGGGGTGTGTACCGTGTATGACTTTGACGGACACAAAGGCATAAAGAGATAGAAATCAAGGGTGTATGTACAGTTTCGTCCTTGTTCAGGCCAGTAGGCAAGTAGGGAGGTTTTTCCCTGAAGCCATTACAGCTGGAGCCTGGTGCATAATCTGCTCCACCCACACCACTGACAAGAGCAGCTGAGGCTCTTCCACGTCAGAAGCTACACCTCAGTGCTCCATCTTTGGGATATAATTAATTTAAATCTCTGGTCGTTGTCATCTTATCCACGATCTTTTGTGACAATCTCCACCTGAGGTTTTATTTTGTCTTGACATATATCCATAAACATTAAGTCATCTTATCGTGTAGTTGTAGTTAATCCATTATCCTCAGTCTTCGTCTCACAGTTAAGTTACTTTCCTTAAATCTTTTCCTAGTTCGCCATCATAGGCTCCTACGTGGCGCTTCGTCAGTTGGTTGCGAGTCGAGAGGACGGCGGCCCTGTCAGGTGGTGGTGCTTGCCGGGCGTAATGACGGTGTGATGAGACCTGTGTGTGTGTGTGTGTGTGTGTACTAGCTGTACCTCTACCTGCTTCC